GCTATTGTCTTTCCACACTACCGCAAATATATTGTTTGTTTGGTCAAAACGGTAATCAAAAAATCCCCGCTTCTCTTTTTTTACCTCATTGTCAGATGTCAAAGGACAACGGCCCATTCGGTTACTGCGCACTGTTCCAGAAGCGCAGACCTTCTTATCAGATAGCTCTCTCATAAGTTCATAGCTGGTAAAAAAGTTATCAAAGTAGAAACAATGCTCAGAGGGATTTTCGATAACCTCCATTTTTTTCAAGATTACAGAAGATCCTAGACTAACACTGGCAGCAGTATCGGCTTTTTTACCTTCGTATACCTCGGTATCGAAACAGAAACCTGTCTCTGAGCAGCACATCGCCCATTGTTTGAAACCAAATCGAATGGGCTTTCCCCTGATAAATTGTTTCAGGTAATGATGACCAAAATACCGCACCATTTGCTCATCAATACTCAGGTTGCTACTGAAAACTCCAAATCTCATGCATAATTTATTGAACCTGTCTATGATGGGTCTTATTTTATAGAGCTTATCATGCTCTTCCGGCTTGACAGGTATAAGTGAATTGTCATTGAAATGTATGTTTCGTTTTATTTCTAGGTAGCGATTTCTAGACATACATGTTCTTACAATTTGGACATTTAAATCTTCGTCTTCTGACCAATACATTTGTTCTTGTGGGAGAGAATGATATCCAGTCAATATGAGTATGCCTAGAAACTTTCTCAGACAATTTACAGAAAAAGTGAACTCATGCCTGTTGTTCTGGGCTGCATAAATCACACTTTGCCTAACAATATAGGTCATTAGTTCTTCATCAAAGAATAACTCAAAAACTTCGGCTGGTGATTTACCGCGAATTTCATCTTTAATTTTTTGCCGACGGATATCGCATGCCGATTGAGCTTCATTTGGATCAGCTAATACACTAAAATTGGCTTTTTCTACCTTTTTCCAGGCTGGAGGTTGACTGGTAGCAATTTTAGATCTCTTGGGCGCTTGGGCAGTTGTTTTCGATCTTACCCGTTTTGAAGTAGAACAGCTGGGCTGCGGCTGATCAGATTGGGGTATCTTTTTAACATCCGTGAGGCCGTGAAGCTCAATATCTCCTGGAAGGTCTAGGGGAACGGAATCACCTAAGACATCCTCATCTAGATCCTCAGAATCTGTCACGCAGTCTACGCGGTCTGGTGGAAGTTCAACGATGTCGATATGGGTATATTCACTTTCATCAATGTAGACATGATTTTCTGGATCATCTATGTAAGCCTCAAGCTCTTTCAAGGAGCGGAAAGGTTTGGAACTCATAATCTAAAAAAAAAGAAAAAAATATTACATGTGCCATGGTCCCCATTTGGGTATCGGAACACAAAAGGACCCTACAGCCACATTTTTATTATTTTTTGTGTGGCTGTATCTTTTTTGTATGCTTAAGACTCTAGTCTATCCACACTTTATAAACAAAAAACTCTTGTCAAAACTTATCTATCAAAAAATAATAATGAAAATATAGGTATGTAAAAAGGTCAACTTACCAGCCACAAATTTTCACAAAAAGCTAAATATTTCAATATTTACGCCACCAAAATATCGTAAACCAACAAAACCACACACGTGAATGTTCAAGGAACAAAACATAACCTAAACTAACAGAGTTTCATAATATGCGTAGTTGCCAAACGGTACAAAAAGCGAAATCCCCAAATGGGGATCATGGCAGCTAATGGGTTAATTAGAGAATGTTGAGGATCGGTAGATGAGTTAAATGGAATTGCATCATTATTCTTCACTTTCACAGTTTTCATCAGGTGCCAGGGTATTGTTCAATAGTTCTGGATTAAAGTTCTCTTAAACAACTTGTCCTATATTACTATTTTCATCATTAGATAGCTCTGAAAATTTTGGTACGTATGATTCACCACAATCAGAATAATCCATATGTTGGATTGATTCATCTACCATTTTCCTGGTCGGTTTAAAGGAGTCATGGATTTCACTTTCTTTGGCCGGAGAATGTAAATTATGCGATGAGGTAGATGGAATCACGTCGTTTTTTGATTCTGTATTACAAATACTCTTACCTAGTCTAGCAGATTTGAGCTAATAATATAGAATTTGACATTCTAGAGTTTAACTTCACAATTATAATAGATAATATAATAGATAAAAAATTGAATAACATCGTAAAAAGCTTAATAATCTAAATTTAATCTAAGTAGAATAAAACCCACTGTTCATTATACAAAAAGTTTTTCAAGCCATAGTTTTTTCAACAGATTTATAAATTTATTTAAATTTACTAAATTCTGGAGGGTTAATAAAAGATAAGCGCATATTTTATATTTTACGCAGAGTGATGAAATCATCATTTCTAGTTATATTTGAGTACGCTAGATGCAAAACTCTGTATTTGCAAAAATTGTAAAAATTGAGTTTTAGCTGACAGTTATTTGTCACATGTTATAGCTATCTGCTGATGTAGAAATTCAGCAGCAAAGTAAGGTATTTACTAAGAAATAGACATTAGAAATCTTGAGTCAGACGCAAAACTCTGTATTTGTCAGCCTATGCCAGTTGCATAACTGTGTAATTGCAATTGGCCAATCGCTTACATTGTTTGAGTCACATGACACGTCTCATGTGCACATGTCAATTATTCCATCATTCGCCATTACCGGTTTCACTGTTTGTTATTTGAGTACTAAAAACACCAAGTTTATTACAAATAATTTAACATTATGGATCTTCATGTGCATATTAGACCTTGTAAAAAAGGAAAAGGGAGAAAACGAGTTGTACAAACAGAAAAAGGGAAACGAAATATAATGAAACTTAAGAGGTAAGAGGTGTCTACAATTAACTAGATAGGTTTGGGACTCATTGTCAATATTTTTAGGCATTAACCTAAGGATTTACCCTTCCCATCTGTAACCATACAAAGAAAGTGTATTGTTGTATAGATTTAAAGATGCGAGACATTCAGCGTTTCCATAATAATCTGTATTCAACAACTGACAAAAGAAAACAAGATATTTTTTTGCGGAAATTTTGTGAAGGTCAAAAGCCCAAGAGATCACGTACAAACCTACATGGAATTTCAATTAAATATTTTGTTCCTACAGTAGAGGCTGCACTTTTAAGAGTATGCAAGACAGCATTTTTTGGAATAACTCATTTAAGTTCTGAAAGAATAGAGCGTGTTGTAAGAAAGTTTGTTATCCGGGGTGAAATTCCAAAAGAGAGAAGAGGGGGAGATACAACAAAAGGTAGATTTGATCCAATAAAATTATCTATCCAAACATTTATGGGGCGTTTGAACGGTGCAGAGAGTCATTATAATAGAGGACGATCGACTAGATTTTACATACCATGTGATCTGAATTTTACAAATCTTTATAGAATGTATTGTCAACGTCATCCACATCATTCCGTAAAGTTATTATATTTCCGAACATACGTTAATGAACACTACAACATATCATTCGGCACTCCCCTAATAGATGCTTGTTCTGCGTGTCTCAGAGCGAAGGAAATTTTGAGAAAAGAAAAGTTAAAGGTTATAACAGAGCAGAAAGTTCATACGTTAAGAGCTAAAGCCTTTTATTCTTTGTTAAAAAATGAATCAAATCATAACATACAAATATTTTCTTTTGATTGTCAAAAAAATCTTTCTTTGTCAAAGCTTCCCGACCAGGTGGCTTATTTCTCACAGCAAATAAATTTTTATAATTTCACAAAAGGGAAAAAGATTTCTTTATTGAAAGTTACAACAGATTGGATGTTCATTGAAAGGAGATAAATCGTCCATAGGCACTCTCCTAGAAACCATTTTGGTGAAAATTGGAGAGACCAGCCGGATCTCAAATTTTATAAAATTATAGATACTGGCGTACAAGCAAATAATAACGAGAGTGCTGCAGAAAATGGTCATATTGATGATGAGGACCCAGAGGAACTTAGAGTTTGGGAATTAATATAAATATATACATATTATAATTTGTAATACCTTTTGTACTTTGGATAAAAATCACTAACAGTTTACTTCCACATGCTTTCTTCCTTATTCCTAACACACTAGGTTTAGAAAACAGACTAATATAACAACCACTAATATCGTTAATGGTTGACTATTATTATGTATTTGCAAATGTTAGTTGCATAAATCTGTATTTACATAGTTCACTTGCAAAACTCGGTATTTTCAAATTTTTCTTTCTTTTCTAGCAAACCCAATAACTTTTCTAAGAAAAAAATTATTATATTTTACCTAATAAAGCATTTATCTATCACAAAAAGTGCCATTTATTATGTCTAAGGTTTTTTGCAAAATTTATCAGTTTTTTGCAAATAACTCAGTTTGAGATATACAGTAAATACGAAGTTTTGCACTAGCGGAGTCATTTTAAAGCGATTTATGCAAAAACCTGCGTTTATATGTTTCTCATTCAAAAAAGGACTATTTTAAACAGGTATAGCTTGGACTATCAAATTTTTAGGAAAATAACAAGGTTTATTTACTTTCTCGCAATTATAAATAAACCAAACTACAATAAAAATAATTGCAGACACAAAAGAGTTGTAGACACTGTCGACAATAAAAAACGCTTTTTTACGTAGAATCGTAGTATCATGTCGTTATCTGTCATGCTGTGTAGATTTTATTTGTGAATACCTTAAAACACATTTGGGTTAATGTGTCAAATATTACATGAGTTTCTCTTTATTTCGTAAATGTAGCAAGAGCAAATAAATATACTGGCGGACTAAAGGGAAGAGCAAATATGTCCGTTTTAGTTACGATCTGCACAAATACAATATAATGTCGGGTTTCTGTTTCTTGCTATACCCTTTTAAAGACCCGAAATGGTAGTAAATATAGAAAACCCGTAAAATCCAAAGGAACTTCATAAAACGTTAAAGTTTCGGCGTGTTGTTTTGTATCCCGGGCTGTAAAATATGCGAAATTGCTAAGCTTTAAGAGGAAAAGTGGCATTACACCCTATTACCCTTGTTATAGGCATTGACATCTGCCCCATTTTCAATTAAAGCGGCAACAATGGCGTCGTAAATTTCCTCTTGCTTTATACACACTGCCAACAATAGAGGCGTGTTTCCGCTGCTGTCTGTCTCGTTGACGTCACGTCCGTTTTTCAAAAAATCACGGACTGCAAGAATGTCACCGTTACGGACTGCGTCGTGGAGGGTTGCATGCCGGTTCTACTGAAACAAATCGTAAATAAACTTAAAGAATATAAAGCTTTCTAAGTTACAAGATCCAAGTGCAATAAAATCGTACAACTAACACAATGTATTTAAAGATAATAAAAATTTCTTTCAACATTAGATTACTCTTTAATATAACACTCATGATCCAAGGTCTTAAAGGCACCATAGAAAAAAAATTGCTAAATTAAATTATACAGATACAAAAATATTCTTTAATGTACAGTTTGCAGTGGATTAGTGGGAGAGTCTTCAGAAGATCCTCGTCATTTTCAAACGTTTACCCGCTACCGAACCCAAATCCAGGGAAAACTGAAACTGTTTAATCCACGAATTCCAGTCAAATTGGCACATAAACATATTTATGAAGAAAGCTAAAAAGAAACTTAAAGCAGAAAAGAAACTTTTACCAAAAAGAAATGCATCCAAGCATCATCCTATACCTATGTACCTTAGTAGCAGCCCAACAAGTTCAAATTCAAAATCTGAAGGACAGACCAGGAATCCTCTTAGTTAAACTTAGACAAGCGAGAAAACAGACCAGCAGTCATGACTTCATCCTCTATTTCTATCTAGAACCCATCGCAGAAGAGATTGAATCCATAGAACCTCAGTATATTACTACCAACAAAGCAATAGAAAATGGAGTTAGTCAATTATATTTTGACAGCCTACAAAACTTTGATAAAACTGTAGAGAACCTTCTCCAAACAGCAAAAGAGAAACTAGACACAATATATTAAATATCCAAAAGCAAAAGAGGACCTATAAACGGATTAGATAATGTAATAAAAGTGTAATAAAATCTATTTCTGGTAATCTAGATCAAGAAGAAGCTGAAAGATACAACGCTGCTATTAAATCACTCAAAAATAACCAACAGAATAATATTACCAACATAAATAGCTAACTCAGTATTAATAAGAGAATAATGACAAATTTTAATCAAACAATTTCATTACTTACACATAGCCAAGAAATCATAGCTGAAGAGACAAACAAAATTAACTTTTAACCCAATTTACAAACAATTATAGAAAAACTAAATGATCTACAAACAACAATTACATTTGCAAGAAGCAAATCTTTACACAACGGCCTCATCAAACCTGAAGAAATAAAATGGACTCTGCAAAAGATGCCTGAACACCAACATGCGTCACAGGTTCCCCATATTTAAGAAGAAGACTTAACCAAATACTATGAAATCCTAGGCATTGATAGGTATCACACGAATCACTCCCTTGTTTTCATTTAAGATTTTCCTATCCTTCATTCCAAGCAGTTCACATACTTATAGTCATATAATACTAATAAATCATACAATAATCATTCCACCTGGTTTATACCTAGTCCACAACTTAGACCTTTTTCAATATACCATTTAAAAAAAGCGTATCCAATTCATTCATTTCTCCACAAGAGTATCCACAAGAGAATGAGCAGACTTATGACTGCATCATCCAAATTTTAAAGTTAATTAATGATGCTGCCCAATGCCAAAGTGTCCTTGTCAGTGTCACTACAACGATCATCCAAAATGTATCAGATGCACACTACGTTGCTGTTTTTCCAAATGCTACGAAAGTATGTACCCATCGCACCTCCACCGAAATAGAAGTACTCAAAGGGACCCATTTAATTGAGTTACCGCCGGGATATGAACTACGAACTAATAATAAAGTTTACACGAATTCCAAAATAATAATTAAAGAGGAACTACTAATATTACCAAAAGTCAAGAGTACCACTCTTCCAAAGAAATATCCAATAGTCACACCCCTAAAATTAGACAGAACTCCTTTAGAAAAACTAGACAAGTTATCACAGGAAGAAGAAAGGTTCCAATCCATGTTTCCAACACAAATGGAACATAGCTACATATAGACACCACCGATATATATCCTGGTAGCAATCCTTTTAATTTTTGGTTTTCCCAAGCTACGCAAACTGAAAAAAGAAAAAGATTAGCAGAATCCAACCACAGCAGAAGACATCCCTGACCACAGACATGAGTCCTCAGAAACAGTACACAGAGTTTTGTTCATCCCTTATAAAACTTTCTCGAAGGATGGAAAAATTACGATACATTAACCCCGATTGTGTGCTTTGTGGACTTCAAGAGAGCTTTTGACACGCTCACACATACGGCCATATGGAAAGCACTGCAGGAAATAGGAATACCAGAAAAAATAGTAAACATCATCAAAGAACTCTACAGTGCCACAGAAAGCAAAATCCTACACAACGGCATAACATCTGACCCAATAGCTATGCTAAACGAAGTAAAGCAGGGCTGTGTTTTATCCCCCATACTATTTAACATTGTACTGGACTCCGTACTAACAAAGGTAAACTCTAATAGAGGAATTTACTGGGGATTAACAAACAGACTGGAAGACCTAGATTACGCTGATGATATATGCCTCCTAGCACATACAAAACAGGACATGCAACTCCAAGTAAATAAAGTACAAGAAGAATCAAAGAAGGTTGGTCTAGAAATAAACATCAAGAAAACCAAAGAAATGCGATTTGGTACCAGAAACAAACAACCTATTATGATCAACGACCAGAAAATTGAGAGAGTAGCGGAATTTGTATATCTGGGCAGCATAATTGACTGTAATGGGGGTACAGAGCGTGATGTACATGAAAGAATAAATAAGGCTCGCAACGCCTACAACATGCTTAACAACATATGGAAATCCAGGATTAACCCAACTAAAACGAAATTAAAAATCTTCAACACAAATGTAAAAGCTGTATTACTGTATGGCTGCGAAACGTGGAAGATATCAGCACCCATAGTACACCAATTACAAGTTTTCATCAATAGAGCGTTACGAAAAATCCTTCGTATATTTTGGCCTAACCGAATCTCCAATGAAAATTTATGGAACCAAAGCAACCAAGAAAATGTCATAAAGCAAATAAGGCGAAGAAAATGGAGATGGCTGGGCCACACACTCCGTAGACCGCCAAATGACATTGCCAGGGCAGCGCTGGATTGGAATCCCCAAGGCCGACGGAAAGTAGGCACACCTAAGGGAACTTGGAGAAGGACAGTACTGGACGAAGGGAAAAAAATGGGAAAATCCTGGCTTGAAATCAAAACACTAGCCAGAAATAGAGTTCGCGGGAGACACTTTGTGGAAGCCCTATGTTCCTCTTAGGAATCTTGGGACTATATATATAACCCCGATTGTCAGCGGTATTGCAGTTCAATAGTTCAACCGATCAGCAGTTTCGACATATATTGCAGACAGATGGTCATCCAATAATTTCTTATAAATACTGTAAATTTTTATCTTCAAAGTCAGTTGTAATTATATTTAATAAAGTACTGTTACTCTGTTAGTTGTATCTTTAAAATGGCCTTTTTAAAAAGTACCTTCGGGAGTGACAACCCTTAAATAGCATCATTTACACAATCATCACTATCATTGTATTATTTACCAAAAACAGTTGGTGCAAATGTACTCGAAACCTGTGGTAAAAAAGTAGTACGGAAACTTACTCATAGACAGTATAGCAGAGGTTTAGCAGAGCAACCACATTGAAACGGTTCAATTTGTTGCTCTAAAACAAAAATTTGTCTTGAAAACTAAGGCCAAGAAATTAGTTTTCTTACTGATTAGCAGTCGTTGGCTATTCTGGCTTTCTTGGTTTTGATGTATCTACGTATCTCTCTAATCTTACTCTAAAGCTGCAAGGAAAAGCTCCATTACATTCTGAGCTTTATAAAGCTCTTTAAGCTTTCACTAGGAAGCTCACAATATTGAAGGAACAGTTGGAACAAAAGTAGTTAGTACCTCTTTTTTATTTTGCAGTTTTAAATATTTTATATAAATATTTTAACAAGTCCATTATTCTATGCATAGGTGACTGTATGTCAATTATTAATATAGAAGTTGATTATTTATAATCACAATTTAGCGACAGTGTTAAAAAACCCAATTACCATTTCTTAGAATTTAGTGTCTACAATTTGGATACTCTATATAGGCTGTAGTATAATATAACACTAATGGTATGATTTCGTATGCCAGTATGCTGTACTTTGTTATTTTTTTTCGTTATCCTCGTTATTTTTTTTTCGTTATCCACTTCGTTATTTGTATTTGAATGTCTTCACTTCACAAGTTTTCCTTTATATTTTGTCAAAGAAAACATAGTTTTGCTTTTGTATGAGTATAATTTATTTTGTTTGAGTATGCTCATGATACTCGTCAATAATACAAACAAGTATATCCCATTTTAATAACAATAATAATCATCAATTTCGATGTTTTATATCTTCCAGAGTCCTGTGGTGATAGTCACAGTTTTTTTTTTATTTTTGATCGATTAAATAAATGTCTTACAGCTGATAAACGTATTTAAGTTTAACAAGGTTTCTACATTAAAACCAATTTCAACAAAATTGAATTGGTGTGTGTGGTTTACCAATATACATTTATATAAACAACTACGATCGAATGATCATCGAGAGAAATTTCAATTTTGAAATTAATTAAAAACGATTTAGGATTGAATTCGACATTTTCCCAAAAAATATTTCCTGCAATATATTGTATATACCAACGGATTTATATTTTTAGATTTAAACATCCTATGTTGATTTTAGTTGAGCAGCTAAATTCTAAATTTGTCATTGATTTTCAAACTGAAAATTTGACAAGCAAAGTGAAGCCCATCTGATTGAAATTGCGATGTTAGCTTTTACTAATTTGTATGAGAATATTTGATGAAAACGGAAATACTGCATTTTTTAATAAAAAAAAAGCGACTGATTTATGGGGGAACAGATATTTGAAGTTTTCAGATTTTTTTAATCCTTTCCACATAAAGCGTCTATAATGGATTTTACCGTTTCTTTTAAAAATAACATAATCATTTATGATTTCAAATTTTTAATAATATATATCTTTTTTTTAAGCAATAATGTACAAATTTGTTTTTGTACATACAACGCTGAGGGTGTTATTTAC